AACAAAACAGACATATAAAATCAGAGTGCAGCAAGTGTCAGTATTGCTGTTTAGCAACCATTTCCAAGCAACCAAGTGGTATAGTGGTAGCAACATTAAGATCGTGTATTCGAGTCCCGGCTGCAGTTTAATTCTCGTGCGATTCGTGCGGTGAAGGAATATATCTTGTATATTAAGAATATTTAATTTATTATAATTAATTAGTTTTTATGATCTAGGTATGAATGATATTAGATTGTTTTTGGAAATCGGTGCCAAGTCATAACAGTTAAATATGTATTTATCGATGTCGCTTTCGAAAGGTCATCTAGCCAGATTTTATTATGTAAATACTAGACTGGTGACAGATGAGCTGGCGGGTCACTTACCGCCTACCGCCGTCTATTTGTACCTGCAACGCCAAGGTACGGGTGTTGTGTTGTTATGAGAATGGTGGATGGTAAAGCGGAGCGGAGTGTACCAACTTTTTAAAAAGCCGGCAACGCAGTCGCGAGCCCTCTGGCATTGAGAGTATCCATGGGGGGTGGTATCACTTAACATCAGATGAGCCTCCTGCCCGTTTGCCCCCTGTTCTATAAAAAAAAACCCTTCTTCGAGTATTATCTATGTATCCGGTGGTGAGTAGGTACGTATATAATATACGTTAAGAGAAGGTTATTGGGCTACCAAAGTTCCACTCCTATTGAAAAATCCTTATCATTGATTTATATAGCTTTTAAAAATAACAATAACTTGTCAGTTAAATAACATTCAAATCCAGTTGTTGATAAACAAGATTTATAAATCGTCGCACTTTTTAACCCAATCACGTAATCGTCGAATCGGTAACAATTTTTTGCCGATTTTTTTGGCGAATCGTGTCAACGACTGATTGATGTCACAATCTTTCGTTTCTTATTTCGAAAGTTGCCAATACCGGTTTATAACTGTACCAAAAGTGTATTCTTTGAATTGTTTATCGTTGAGAGAATGAAAGATGCATTTTAATTTTGTATATATTTTTACGAACGTAAATGTTGTAATGAAAACATAGCAAGACAAAAAAATGTGTTTCTTTAAAATTTACTAAATTGTGTGTTTTTTGTAATATTTTCTAGCTTTGTTGGCGTCGGAATTATAATTAACATAGGTATAATTATATATACTGACCCGGCAAACGTTGTTTTGCCATGTATATTATTTCCAGGAAACATTTTTTTATTTCAATAAAAATAACTATCTACTATAATAATAAATTAGGGGTTGATCGTAGAGGGGTGAAAATTAAGGGTTGTTAGTTTTTTGTTTATTATTCAACCAAAAAATTAAAACCAAAAAAAATTGTCTAAAAAATAAAAACAAAATTTTTGTTATCACTTAGGGGTTTGAAAGATAGATAGTAGCCGATTCTCAGACTTAATGAATATGCATAAAAAAATTCATAAGAATCGGTGGAGCTGTTTCGGAGGAACGAACATTGTGACACGAGAATTTTATATATTAGATGTATGTATAACTTATGTAAATAACATTGGCAACTAGGATGAAGCACTACTACTTACAGCAGATTTTAGAAAGATGTCTATTAACCAATTGTTCAACATTATTTCTTTTAAGTTCATCTCTATTAGTATTTCAATAACTTGTTCGGTGTTATACCTGTTTTCAATTTTGTAAGTTTTTGCATAACAATGGTCATAGAGCAAAATTTTATACGGATTTTTTGGCACCGACATCCAAAAATTAGCGTACTTTTATACGCTTTGTGAATTAACATTTAACAAATTCGTTTAAAATTCACTAAATTTATCCTTAAACACGTTTATGCTGTACAAATACTGATATAAAAATACTGATATTGGCTTTTCAACTTATTATGAGACAACAAAACAAAAGAAGGTAATGAATGTTTATATAAAAACTAAATAATAGGAACTACGACTAATGGACAATCATTCTAAGAAAACTATCTAAATATTAGAATTAACATAAATAAATAAGATGGAAGAATTTTTATTTTAATTGAAGAAATAAACGCTAAGCTAATACAAAACGTCCTAACATTCGACAACCGATTAATATAAGTCAATATCACAAAAAACATAATGTATAATCAACGATCTTATAGACGGCAATTTCAGTCAGTCCTTATCTTTTTTATAACTACCCTCAACTTATTATAAACTTATTTACAAGGGCATGACATTTTACTTGTATATGCTGTCCTGAATATCAATATCAATCATGATTAGTAGGAACCACAAGATACGTAAATTATAAATTGTATCTTTTAAATATTAAAATAAATGAAAATAAAAACCTTTTTAGGTCCGGGCTTTTCAAACAGATTTCTGTTTCATGATCATTCTGAATCTAATAGGCGTGATCGGTGATCGTAATAGGTGATCAGCCATCTGTGCCTGACGCACGCCGTCGACTTTTTTGGGTCGATATATAGAAAGAGTGTTGGCCTAGTGACTTCAGCGTGCGACTCTCATCCTGTGATCATAAATTCAACGCCCGGCTGTGCACCAATAGACTTGCTCTCTTATGCCTTTAACACTCGCTCGAACGGTGAAGGAAAACATCGAGAGCAGAACGGCATGCCTTAAATATTGCAACGGCGTGTATCAAACACAGAATCACCTACTTGTGTATATTAGATGATGAAATATTAAAGCTAATGATCACCACGACCAGACCTATGAGGTGGTTATGCGCATGAGTAAAATTTTTACGGAACGTCACGACGATGCGCAGCGTTTTTGTCGAAGAAAAGGAGAGAGCGATTGAGAGCGATTGAGAGAGAGTGAGAAGGGCGAATTAAAGGGAGAATTAAAATTTCGTATAGAGAATTTGTGAAATATTAGTATTTTATATTTTATGCAAAATAATTTATTGAAATCTCAAATGACGAATTGTATATTAAAATGCGTGTTTTTATTATCGAATGAATTAATTTAAAAAATTAAATTTATAATTTGTACCAATTTTCGACTCTTATTTTACCGACAAGAAATTCATTAAATTCCTAACATATCTTCATTTTTCCCTCTCTCTAAGTCTCAGAAATCTAAACTTTCAGATTTGTATAAATATGAACAAGACTTAAAAATTCGTTTGCCAAAGAAGTTTCACTTCTGACATGTGTACTTTAGACGCACACACTTTTTTTTATTATGCGTATATAAATTCAAATGTATAGGCTAGTTGTACAAACAACAAGTCTTATTCTACGCTGACTAGTAATAGTATAAACGATAATTAATGAAAATCAGCCAACCATAACCAGTGGTGTCACGGACTGAACCGTCATGTCACGTCCAAGGTAATCTTAGAGGCCGCACGTATTCTTCCGTACATTTTAAAACCACCCTAAATAATTGGCGGCTTTTGTAACTGGAACCTTGCTTATAAAGGTTTTTTGCGACCTTTTTTCATGTGGAATTAGAAAAAAATCTCATCAAATTGAGAAAAAAATACTTTTTAAAGTGATGTAAAAATAGGGCCTTTTAGGGTCTCATGGGCACTATCTACCAGCTGAATTTCGTGTAGATATAACCTTTTCTATAAATATTGGGCACTCTTTTTGTGCTATTATAAATCTCGTTATTTCTCTCTGCCATGTATGTAATGTATATTTATATATCAACGCTGCTGAAAGAATTTCTTAAATGGATTCGAGTTTCAGAAATATTAATAGGCAATTCATAATTGACGTTAATGTAACGAAAAATTTTACCTCTTTATTCGTTTAGTGTATACTGGTAACGTAAAATCGTAAGCATCGCAATGGCCAGAAGGCACGCAAGTGTGCCATCCTTTTAAGAGTAGGTACGCTCTTTTCTTGAAGGACCCAAAGTTGAATTGGTTCGGAAATACTTCAGTGGGCAGCTGGTACCACATAGTGGTAGTGCGTGACAAAAACTGCCTTAAGAAACGCTTAGTTGTGGAATGACGGACGTCGAGGTGATACGGATGGAATTTTGTATTCTGCCTTGACTCCCGCATTGGATTTCCACTAGACTCTGAATCATAGGTCATGTACGCCTCCTATATACAGTTGTTAGATAAAAAAATGACTTTGATAATTCGAAAATAAAATAATAAGAATTCTCCTTTCGTTAAGCCTTATTCAAATACGTTATTTATGGTCAATAATAAAACAAGCAGGATAATACTATTATAATCATATATAACGTAACTTTGCAATGCCATTGAAAGGAAGGAAATTGACTAGGAAATCAAAACAATACATTTCCCAAGGTTGAAAGAACAATGACTCTGACATCTACCTGTCGAGATGTCACGAAAATATTTTTTGACATTCGGACACTATTTGCACTCATAGTGATGGACATGTATTCGAAAAGCAAATAATATCCGTGAATTATCTGCATTTTAAATATTGTTTTTCTATGATTCGTTGTGTGGTTAGTGATAATTTTCAAGGTAACTTAATTATTTAAAGAAAATGTTTTTAAAATTTCTCTATTATCGAATGGAACACAAATTTAAGCAAGCTAGCAAAATTTTTAAGTTTATTCGCTATTAAAATTGTCTTACATCACGCTAGTACTATTAAATATTTTTATTTATAAACGTGAATATAACTATTAATATAGTAACGATTTTTAATTTTTCTTAAAGAAATTTGTGCTCCATTCCCACTTTGTGCAAGGCGATCACTGCAATCCTATTTGCTTTAATACCATCCATACTGTTAATTTGATAATGAACACGAAAAAATGTGTGAAATGGCGCAAAATCGAAAGAAGTTTTCAAAATAACATACGTGTTCCAAATTCAAAATAATTAAAAAGTTGAAAAAAAGAAAAGTTTTTATGTAACAGTATTCATGGCCAGACTAATTGTATTTAATTTGTATCAATATTATTTGTACAATATGAATTATCTATAATCAACTTTCTGATAATCTAGTTTAAAAAAAAAATTACATTATATAAAGAGTTCTCACACTTTGCTTGGATGCACGTTTAATAATCAACTATTCCTTTCAGACGTACTGCATTGACGCTCAAGTGCCTGACTCTGCTTGCACAGCCACGTCTTACCTCACTGGAGTGAAGACCAAATATGGAGTGATCGGTCTTGATGGCAACGTCACAAGAGGGTCCTGCTTCTCCCAGCTCCATAAAGGCAACTGGGCGCCATCTATCGCCCAATGGGCTTTGGCCAGTGGATTGGATGTTGGTAAGTGAAAGATAAAATTAAGAAATTAATGCAAAGTTTTTTAACGACATACAGTTATATCAACGGATTTGGTTAACCAATTAGTAAAGATTTAAACTCATCTGTCGATTTAATAGGAAACTAAAATGGACATTGTTTTTCTTCACCGCTCATTAAATAAGTCGTAAGGTCACCCGGGGCGAAAGCAACTATGGGGCTAAAGTGACTAATTGATTTTATTCACAATTTAATGATTTTTGTAAAACGTGCCTGTTGAAGAGTAGAGCAATTATTACTTTTTTTTATAAAGTCTAGATGGAGCTTTTAAGTCGCTAACTGTTGTACTGACAGAGCATTTTTTGACTACCGCCATTTTGGAGCAAAGTTTTGCGGCGCCGTCTGTTTAGTTTTGTGCCATAAAAAATATTTCACGTTATTTCCAGCCAAATTGAAGGTTCATCCTAATATAAAGATAAAACGTAAGTGCTTTTGGTATATTTGGTTAAAGGCTAAGTCTTTTAATTAACATTTTATTGACATAGTTACATTAACCTCAAATTTTTGTGCAGATGGGTAATTGCAACTATTTTTGCAGTTGCAATAGCCCCATTGTATTTGTATGAAAAAATCAAATCACTAGTGAAGTTCCGTGTCGATATTTCAACAAGTGAAGTTCACTACCTATTTGCATAAAATATTTACCTTGGTATCTGTGACGTATTTTTTTAAACTTATATATTGATTTTGTTAATAATTTAATTGAATTTATTTACATAGAAAACTTAATAATACGTGTTATTGAAAGGCAGATTAGGCGTGCACAAAATACATTCAAACTATAAAACTATGAAAGCCTTTACATAAAGTTACGATTTTGTTAATCTGCAGAGACAGAACGATACTTACGCATCTGCCCAGTGAATCTCTTAATTCAGAAATTGGCAGTAAGAATTACTGGACTGATCAATATTATCCTAGGTTTAATGATTACTCACATAATGTGGCATTATTAAATGCCAATATTATTAAGTCAGCTAGACATTAAGCAAAAATGTTGATGTTAATTCCCAAAAAATAACTTTAGCAAGACTGGGTTTTTGTACTTATCTACTTTCATGTTATCTATTATACTTACTGTCCTTAGATGTTTATTTGATTATAAGAAATGTTAAACCTTTTACTATGAAGATTTATTTTTTAATGAATCGCATTTTAATTCTTTACCTTATCTTTACGATCAGACTAATAATTTTTCGGTCCTTTCATCGAATTTTTTTTTCACGAAGATTTATCGATAAATTTAGTAGTACGTATCTGTCCAACACTAGCAAGTATGGGAGGCAGTCGCATTCGCCCCATAAAAAGTTTAAATTAATTTTTCTGGAAACTGAGCCTTATTCCCAGCACCTAGATACCAATTTCAGATACCTGTAGTGTGAAACTATATATACCCTTATTCCAAACGTATAGATTACGATTACAACAAGGTCATTTAACTGATAGTTGCATTAACCTCAAGGTGGGGTAAATGTAACTTTTAGTGCTCTTATTCAACAAGAATGTAAATTATTCAATAACTTAAGCCTATTTTTCACGTACTTTATGTCGGAACTATTCAATGAAAGGCATGGAATAAAGTAAGTTCATTTAAACAACCATCATAATTAGGTAGCTAATGGTAGAGGACGACAAAGTACCAATTTATAAATTTTTAGTTGCTTTCGCCCCGGGTGACCTTACTAAAAAAAAATTATGTTTATTATGGAATATAAGATACAGGTATCACTTATTCCACGTCATTAAATTTGAATAGGTAGACGTCATAAATATAAATAACTCCCAATAGCGGTGTTTAAGCGTTACTGATCCAGTTCCAATCCATTTTCAATGTTTTAATACCGCGCGATCCCAATGTTGCGATATCAGTGCTACGGATATCGAAATTGGATATAAAGATTTTTACTTAGCATACCTACCTGTTACTTTGTACTTCACCTAACTTCGTACTTCGCCTTACTTCATACTTCGTACTTGGCCCTACCTTGTACTTGGGCTTACTTTGTACTTGGCTTTACTTTGTACTTGGCCTTACTTCGTACTTCGTCTTACTTCGTACTTCGCCTTACTTCGTACTTCGCCTTACTTCCTACTTCGCCTTACTTCGTACTTCGCCTTACTTCGTACTTCTGCTTACTTCGTACTTCGCTTACTTCGTACTTCGCGTTACTTCGTATTTCGCTCACTCCAGTGAGTGGTCCTGCCTTTCAGGCGGTCGACAACCCCGCGACGGCCCAAGCCGAGGTCCGAGTCGCGCACGCCCTTGCGCTAGTCGCGGGAAAATGCCCAATTCGGCCGTGCTACACTCGCCTAAACAGCCCAAGTTTAGCTTTAAAGGCCTTTAAGGCCAACAACGAGATTCCATTGCAAAAAATATCCACCCGTATGCAACTATGAGATTAAATCATCTATTTATATTATTCACGCTTGTCACGTGACCAAATGAATTCGATTGGCTATAGGTGCCGTTGAGAATTCAGCAATATAGAATTTTGTTTAAAATACAGTGATATGAAAAAACCGTGACTATGAAAGCCAAAGTTTTAACTATAAACTTGAAATTTAATATTTTAAATCGTTATAACTATGTCACTCGTGTAAAATACAAAATATACCTCGTTTTTTTCTGTTGTCAAACATACTTTAAATTACCGCGAATTACCTGTGTACTAACAACGATGCAAGGAAATTGCCTTCCTCCAATTATATTAAAGAGGTATGCATTATATAATTGTGTTTGAGTCAGTATGACAAAAACAAAATTCACGTACAGTGCCACAGTTTTCTTGGCCGGTAAGAGCGTCGCTGTCATGGATATTAGTATTGCCAGTAAATAAAATTTAACCAATATAAGGGGAATAATTTGAAGTCATGCATAACTTAATATTTTATTGAAATGTCTTAACAAAAAAAATTATACTTGTATCTAGAAAATACTGTTATAGGCTTAAATAAATGTGACACAAACTTAGGAACAACTAATATGATAGGTTTTTTTACCTGTACTATTATTATAATATCTTTTAAGATACCTGGCAATCAGAACCGTTCGATAATTAAAACTTATAAAAATAAATACATTTTAGTAGGATTTTTATTAGATGTTGATAGATAGTAAAATTATTTATTGTACGCACTAAGAACTTACAGAAAATAAACAATGTCTCACATTTCAAAATGGCCACGGTAGTACCAAATTCAGCCGCCGGCCAAGAAAAGTATATGGCACTGTAATGATGTTAAAATGTCTCATAAAGTATCGATCATGAGAATCAAAGTAATAGATTAGAGACTTTATGATTGTAATTTCAAAATTTACCTTAAGGACCGATGTAAGTATAAGATAATCATTATCAGATTCATAAGAAATGTAAGTCAAGGTACCCTTATCAGATATGGAACCGAAAACTTACCTTTTAATATTTCTTAGTTCTTTAGACCCCGTCAGATTTCGAGGTAGTGTGATAACACCCGATAATATCTCAGTACTATCAGCGTTCGCCAAGGCTCACCACAGATAAATGCGTTTTGACAGCTAGAGGCGCTGTAAAATTTAACATAGAAATATTTTACGCAAGCATAATCATATTTTTCGTTATATTATAATATACTAAAGACCTCCTACGAGTATCAATAACAAAATGCAATATATATTTGTATTTATTTATATATAAGGGTCGAAATATATATTATTAGTCTGAATATATATGTCGGAATAATGGCGCTGGTATCAGCTGCCATTTTCATTATAATTGAATAACATCGAAGTCAAATTAGTTAAAACCGTTATGTGGTTTATTTGATTTGCCAATATTAATAAATCTACAGATTAACAGACTTTAAGATTGTCTGCAGTATATTGCTAAATCTATACATTAACGACTATTCAATGTTCGAGAATAATAATGACTCTATAGTCAATATTATTAATATAAAAAGTTATTTCATATTTTTAAATATTTGATGTTATTAAATTATAATGAAAATGGCAGCTGTAAAGGTTGTAATAATAATACAAAAAATTGTTAAATCAGGCTGTATAGTAATATTTCAAATATTAATGTGTAGAACTAGAATTTTCTTTAAAACAATAGATCTCTCAACAATTTTCCTCAATAGACAATGTGATATTAAAGACGAAAAGAGTCAAAAAGTAATTAAGGCTTTGGTAATGACGGCATCCAGCAATACAAATGATTATAATAAATTATATTGTATAAGTGTTAAGACATTGAAAAATAATCGTATAGAACAAAGTATCAAAGACATTAAAATAAATGAAACAATATAATAATAAATTTATTAGGTAATCATTTAAGTTGATAATTGCGGATTTGTCAGTCTTAAACAAAATTAATAAATAAACTTGCAGTGTTGGCCATCTATTAATAAATTAAACGAGCAGTGTTGGCCTAGTGGCTTCAGCTTGCGACTCTCATCCCTGAGGCCGTAGGTTCGATCTCGGGTTGTGAATCTTTCATTATATGTGCGCATTTATCATTCGCTTGAACGGTGAATGAAAACATCGTGAGGAAACCGGATTGCCAAATCCAAAAAGTCGACGTCGTGTGTCAGGTACAGGCTACCTACTTGTCTATTATATTGACAAATGATCATGAAATAGATTCAGATATCTGAAGTCCAGACCTAAAAAAGTTGTAGCGCCACTGATTATTATTACTAAACTTTAATACTATACTATATCTGTAATTAATTCATAGACTAGCATTTAAAACTTTATTTACCATTTGAATAGTAAAATGTTCCCAAGTAACATGGCCATATTTATTTCCATATAAACTACTTACACGTGCGAGGTTGGGATTGGCGGTTAGTATTTTATTAAATGAATGTACTTTTAACTTAGTATGTTGGAAATGTATCATAATTGCAGTCCCGACTCCATAACGGTGATTCTCAATTTGGTATTATAAACCAAGTTGTAATTCTTGAACCTTTGCTTCGTTAATCTCGTAACTGGACCAGATTTTGAGCGGTTTCTGCCATGCTACTTTTTATAAGAAATTACCTAAAAGTTATGTCTGCACACCCATTATTCTGAAGACTGTTTCTATGTGGGCCACGCCCAAGTCGGTCTCAGGTGGCTTGACTTCCAACACTTTAGGATAAATTATTTTATATATATTTATTTATAAGTCACTAGCTGCCCCCGCAAACTTCGTTTCTCCTTAATGTGATTTTACTTTGCCTACCTTTTTAGTACATAAAAGCATGGAAAATTTTGCTAGTGTGTTGGGGTTGGGGTAGCCCCCAGAGACGGTTCGGTTTTCTGGAATGAAAACTTTTTAGGTTTTTCTGTGAATTTTTCTCTATATAAACCTCACAGTTCAAGTTATAATATTTTAATTAACAAATAAAAAATAGAGGTTGATCGTAGTAGGGTGAAAATTAAGGATTGTTTGCATTTTGTATGTTGTATCATAAAAAAACAAAAACAAAAAATTTTATCTAAAAAATAAAACATAGTTTTTTGGGGTGAACTCTCCTTATCACTTAGGGGTTTGAATGATAGATAGTAGCCGATTCTCAGACTTGACTGACTGAATATGAATATACAATTTCATAAGAAACGGTCGAACCGTTTCGGAGGAGTGTAGGAACGAACATTGTGACACGAGAATTTTATATATTAGATATTATAAAAGAAAACACTGAGACAATATACAAACCCAAAACTGTTTACATTGTTAAACAAAATATTCGAAACAGAAAACATAAGTCAATTAAGTACAGTAAAAAAACAAATTGTCACTACTGTGAAATAAAGTCAAACTCATCCCGTCAGTCCCTTTTCCTAAAATATTTCCTCACATATTCTTTGGTAAGGTGGAAAATGTCTACACCTTCATAAATTTTATTGTAGTTAGCTAAAAACCGATACATTGGCGACTTACGCAGATAATTTGTGTTCGTACAAGGCACATGGAACAATTATACTCAAGCCTTCGTCGTCACTTCCTCGTTTACGCCGGCTTTTTCTCTCAGCCTACACCCTCTGTCTCTCTGCCGATGAGTAGAGATGTCTACCGATACAAATTTAATGACGTGGAATAAGCGATACCTGTACCTTATATTCCATAATAAATAGACATAGACATGTCATTTATTGCAATCAAAAACACACACACATAAACACACAAAATAACAATAATCAAAGAAAAAAATTAAATAAAAATATAATGAGAGATATATAAAAATAAAATGCCTTTTCCCATTCGGTTCGTTTCAAGTGTAATGCGTGTGTGCTGTGGTTGTAATTGGCCCTGGCTCAGCATTATGCTGAGGAGCAGAATGTTCCTCAGTCGCAAAAAAACATACTTTATTTTATTATTGTTTAAAAATCTATGTTTTATAATCTGTAGTGATATGATTATAACATTATCTAATTTTTATTAGGCCTTGTGACCACTACCCGAGTAACCCACGCCTCTCCTGCCGGCATGTACGCCCACACATCTGAGAGGAATTGGGAGTCAGATGCTGATGTACCAGATGAATGCATCAGCTTGGGTTGTCAGGATATCGCTCGGCAACTGATAATGGCGAACCCAGGAAGACAGTTTAAGGTATGAATTGTTCGAAATTTGAATAGGTTTTTGGAACAAATGAATTACACATTTGTCTTTTGTTTCAACGAAACAACTTAATATTACTTTTTGTATGTTTTTATGTAAATATAATTATGGTAAAAAAACAAATGATATGTGTATGATATTTTTATATCTATACACATAAACGGAAACGGAAACACAAACGGGATTCGGTTTGGACCCTAAAAAAAAATTGCATGAGACATATCAAATTGTTACTGTGATACGGACTTTGGTTTTAGAATGCTATTGTGTCTACATATACGAATGCTTGATAGAAAGTTTTCGTTTAGATTTGTGTTAAATAAAATAAATTAAATATAATCCCATACCACATCTTCTTGTCATACCAATGGTATTTTCCATATAAAAACGCTGCTAAATGTTTTAAAGTGGATCGACGAACTCATTAACAAAGTGTCAAAAATTAAACAATAAAACCTCCTTTATACTGAAAATTGTTAGTGAAAATACAATTCGTTACACATTTAAATAATTTTCAGTAATTTACGTAAATGTATTTAAATTTTGTTTTTATGGCCGTTCACGGCAGCTAATGTCATGGTATATTAAAGATATTGTTAACATTTCAATATAATCGTGACTGATATGCTACTGTATACTATATTATGTATTTAATTCCGAGTATTGACTCATAATAATACGTCTTTTAAACCAGAGACTTTAAAGTATACGGGGCTCATAATTTTATTTTGAATTTTTTAAATAAGTTGGTGTTCAGCCGCACATATGTCATCTCTTTCTGGGTCCTAAGCCAATCAAGAGCGGTGTTAGCCTAGTGGCTTCAGCGTGCGATTCTCATTCGTAGGAATCCGAAGGTCGTAGGTTCCATCCCCGGCTGTGCATGACTTTCTTTGCGCGCATTTAACATTCGCTCGACGGTTAAGGAAAACATCTTGAGGAAACGGGCTGGTCTTAGATCCAAAAAGTCGACGGTGTGTTAGGCACAGTAGGCTGATCACCCACTTGCCTATTAGATTGACAAATGGTCATGAAACAGAATCAGAAATCTGAGGCCCGAATCTTAAGAGGTTGTAGCGCCACCGATTTATTTATTGAAGGTCATTGTCAGGTCAAGAACATTTCATTGGTAAATTTTGTTCTCATCAAAATACGGGAGTACCCAGTACCGTACAATTATTAATCAACAATACATGAATTACTTACATTTATATTTTAATAATATTCCAAGAAAACATTTGTTTAAATAAGACAGAACAATACTTAACTTAAACAAAATGTAAATATCTCGTCATCGTTATTTTTATATTGTCCATATCTCAATAATTGAAATCTTATGTATTAAAAACCTGAATTAGTTGAATAATATTTCGTCCCGTTCAAACATTGCAGTCACATGAAAGTGAAGGAAAATAACTAATCCTAAAAACATTTGATTTTAAGTGTGTTTTTGAATAAGGTTTTTTATTTTCTGTTGAGATATTTAGTTAAAAAACATGCAAGTGGTAATGTAAAATAACACAAAATGCCACGAAATTTTTATTGTTTTCATTATTTTATATTAATAGTTAACATCATACCTACTTGTATTTTAAATTGATTGCCTTATAAATAATAAATTAAACAACCAAGGTTACAAAAGCAATCGATTTTATTATTTGCTTTAAGGCTAAATTTTAAATATCCGAAAAACTGGAGTTCTTGAAATTACAAATTCTGTACCCAAGTATAGTAAAACGTTTCGTGACCACCTACTGACTCTTTATACCTAAAAGTTACCATTATGTGGCGTAAAGAACTGGAAGTCGAAAATAATATGAATAATAACGCGTAATTCAATCCCTGCCCCGCATCGTAACGTTACGTAATACTTGATCGCTCCCTAAGACAAGACGGTATTTCAAGACTTTATCATCATATAATTGCTTTAAACCTAATTTAATCCTGTTACAGAGGACGAACTAAATTACTCTTTCATTTGTTTCTCACAAATAATCGTAATTCTTAATCTTGAGATCATAAATTTAGGGGTTCTTATTAATAGCTATTGCTGTGATTTAAAAATTAACAGCATATCTCAGACATTGTCACTGTCTCAGGCTTAACCTGGACGACAGTCTTCAGGAAATTTTTGCCGCCCTGCACCTAGTGGTGGCGCTACCACTATGTGGTCCTAGCTGCCCGTCCAGGTCTATCCTATTCGAAAGATTTCGGAGCGAAGCAATTCTTAAAAACTCGGCAACGAACTTGGGAGCCATCTGTAAGTGCCCATGATCACTTACTTATCATTTTACACCAGGAGAGCCTCTTGCCCTTTTTTCTGTATAAATAGTCTTCTCGCTTATAAACCACCCACCCTGCACAGAGCAATACACTATAGGGCAAAATGACATAATACAAACATTAAAATTCTGATCGTCAATTTAATAGCGACTAGAATTTTATAGCTTTTAAGGTAAAAGGTAATGCATGATACATATTATCATTATGAGGTGATTAAACAATATTACAACTTCACGATACGCTGTATATGTTATATTTAAGTTTTTTTTTTAATTTATCTTGCTTTGTTCACTAATTCCTTTATAATAATCTGAAATGGTCTAGTCGGAGTAGTTAAGTCACAGTTTGACAGAAACAAATGAGTTCCTTTAAAACAGTACTTTTCCTGATGAGGGGAGGGTTATACATTCAGTGATGCCAACGTAAGGGATTTTGCCACCAAATTTAGATGGGATCAAGATGTCCTGGGGGGGCTATATTTATTTAGGGGATTTCGGGGGTAATTTATAAAAAAAAAAATATTTTTCATAACAAAACTCACGTATACAATTTATATTAAGTCTAGAATCCAACCAACAAACGAAACTAAATATACAAGCGTGGCTTTAACTGAGATATCAAAAAGCTAATATGGTAATACTTCAACATCGAAATTGTTTAGACTACTTAAATGTATTTTTGATGAGCATTTGTAATTACTTCTCAAACCCAGTGTACCACAAGAACATTAGGAGTTTTTAATTCATATTTAAAATACTAGCGGGAACATTCTGTAGGATTTGGCACAACTGCACGCATTTTGTATTGCCAGAGTGGGTCGTTCTTCCCGCGCGCAATTAATTATTAGTCTATTGTCTTTAATTTCATACATACTCCTTAACTAGGTGACCGCAACATATACAACACCTAGACACATATATATATATGTGTGTTTTTTTTCTTTATATATAATTCACTATACAAGTGCATTAAGTGTATATACAAATAATTACCTAATCGCGTGCGCGCGACTCCTTGCGTGGCAAAAAAATGAGGGTAGGCTGTGGATAAACACTAATTTATCAATATGTAAGATATTAAAAATACAGCCTTTACAATAAGATTGTTTGAAGCCCCGTAACAATGGAGCAGGACACATTTCTATATCTACATAGTATCATAGTGATCATAGTACGAAAACGGTGATTTTTATATGCGGAAAAAGTATTTGTTACAAATTTTCAGGTTATTCTCGGAGGTGGCAGACGGGAATTCCTTCCTAATATATCTACTCCTCTGACCAATTATACCGGAAGACGCAGGGATGGTGTCGATTTAACAGACATGTGGCATACCGATAAGATGGAGAAGAATGCCTCTCATCAATACGTGACTGACCGAAATGAACTTATGAAGGTATGTATTTGTTGATCCACATTTTTCGATCGTCATGTGTAATGTCCACCTTGGAAGACCTTCAGAAGTGCTCCTTTGGAAACACTAGGATCTTTAAAAAAGAATCCTTTACACTATAACAATCTTGTTCCTCGCTAGGGATTTAAAATCATATTTTTTTAGACATTTCTAAAAGTCGTTTATGGGATCTGGGATTATGGGGCTTGTAAATTTGATTTATTATATGAATTATAATAGGAAAATTTATAAACGGCACGGACGTTTAACTTTCAAAGATCTAAATCTATATTTGAATTTATATTATACTAGTCGACTCGGCCAAGCGTTGCTATGGCTAAGATTTTTGTATTATTACATAGTACATAGTAAACTATTCAAGGGAAACGGTAGGAGAACTTATGTGAAAGGTAGATGACAGCTTATGTGAAACGTTGATAATTTTAACACAGCGCCATCTGTTAGAATTGTATCAAATAATAAACAAATATTTTGCAAGAAATTAAAATTGCGACTATAATTTGAGATTTAAACTATCCTATCTCTCAAGTTGGATCGAACTGCACATGGTGTGCAAATTTGATTGATATCGGTTCGGTAGTTTAGGAGTCCATTGAGGACAAACATTGTGACACGAGATTTATATATATTAAGATATGTTAGTTCTCTTAACTAACATATATAATAGAAATTCAAATGGCTAATGTGTTACAGAACATACAGCGTAAGATAAAATTAATGCATTTTATTATAAAATAACATTAATTTCGTATCGTTAATTTAAGGGGTAGCAAAAAATTTGGGATCACCATATTTTTTTATGTATCAAAAAGTTATATTTATAACTGATTTAACTCTTCTAAGCCAGGATTCCAGAGGTCCTGAAATAAGTCGAATTAAATTATGATTGAAACTTGCTCATTAAATTGTAACAGGCGCAAAGAAAATACACATACTACTCACCTATATAATATTAAAGAATTATAGTACAGCGTTGCTGTGGCTAAGGTTTTTATAATATTACATAGTAGCAAACTATTCAAGGGAAACAGTAGGAGAACACCAGTCATAGGGACCACCATGCTTTTTTGGTGGTTATGCTATTAAATTGTAGCTTATGTGAAACGTTGGTACCTTCAACACAACTAATAAACAAATATTTTGCAATAAAATAATATTTCGGGTGTAAATTGAGATGTAAGCTATCCTATCTTTTAAGTTGGATCAAACTACACACAGTGTGCAAATTTGATTGATATCGGTTCGGTAGTTTAGGAGTCCATAGCGGACAAACAACGTGACACGTAATTTATATATATTAAGATTTGTTTCTGAGTTTGTCTTTTACCGTGCGGTTATTTATGCACACACATGATTTCTCTCTTATTTATTTTATTAGCTTTTTAAAGTAGGACAATGTCAAATGATTTGCATGCCCTTGCACATAAATATTCTTATCAATAGTTAATTTACCTGTGTTAATATACTTATATTAATAAAATAAGCAATTGCGCTAAACAGCTTTTTAGTTTCTGTATTTGTTTTTTCTAATAGGCTAGTAGCTTTCTGTGCTAACTAAGAAATGGCTTTGTGCGATGGGCCTTATGGCTAAAAAGCGTCCAGGCCAGCAGATTTAAGAGTGTTTTTATTGAGAAAAATTGGCAATCCTATTCTTGAAAAACACAGAAAGTAAATTATTATGAGGTACACGATTTACGATTCACGATTAAGTAGAGATGATGATGAAGATAAATAATGATTTTAAAGGACCTTACAGCTATACGAAGTGGGTAGCGAGGAGAGCCAAGATTATTTAGTGGAAAAACTACAGTAATTTTTTCTTATTCATATTTAACTTTTAGTACAAGCTAGAACTCAACTTTTTAATGATCCGTTTATTAAACTAAACATAACAATCAAATATACAGTCTTAACAATTTTCTTAACCTACATAGTATAATAAAAATAATTGACAAATAATAAAAATAAAATTAAAAATAAATTTAATTTTTTTTTTAAATTTATATTTAATGGATATCAGATTTTAGTAACTGTAAGTCAAGATCATAGCTCCTGATCTCTTATGACGTCAGATTTTTCAGGAAAATGTTTAGTATTAAACAATTTCTAAAATTTAAAAATTTAGTGTTAAATTAACATTTCCAGGTGTAAAGAAAAAACTGTTTGACCGGATTGAAGTTATGTATTATTATAAATTTACAACTATTTAACATAATTTTAAATTTATCCGACGTTTCGCGTGCTTTACAGCGTGCGTGGTCACGGTGACTGAAGACAAAAGATGTTGGATGTCAAAAAGTATCACAGCTGTAGAGAAAGTTGCCTTATCTGTATTTATTACCCCGGAGTTGGTATCGACTAAAAGATGGAGGGTTAGTTAGTAAATTATGTTAAATAGTTGTAAATTTATAATAATACATAACTTCAATCCAGTCAAACAGTTTTTTCTTTAAATGTGTAAAGGTTATGTAAATCAAAGACAATACTATTTCCAGGTGTTCAATTCTGACGACCTTCCAGAATACCTGTTAGGCCTCTTCCAAAATGACCACATGGATTACCACCTGCAAGCCTCCAATCAGCCGACATTGGAAGAGATGGTGGAGGTTGCGATAAAAATGCTTAATCGCAGTGATAGGGGATATTTCCTGTTCGTTGAAGGTACTATATATATTTTTTTAATTCTTCTGTATGTGTGTATGTCACTGAACTCCTCTTAAGCGGCTGGACAGATTTGAATGGATTTTTTTGTATGTGTTTGGGTGGCTTAGATTCACAAATCAACCCGGCAGATGGCGCTGCAGTCAATACTTGAATACTTTAGATTATATAATATATTTTAAACAAAAGAATATACATTTCTTAATGAATAGCTGTTTACTCATACATGTATTTTAACCGTGGCCTCTACTTACCATACATTACTAAATCTGTTGAAATAGATCATAATCTTTTTGAATCCATCATCAAGCATAATTTTAACTATTTATAAGGCTTTTGATGTTGTGGATAATGTATTTTAAATTCTTTTTACGGCATCTAATGCTATGTTAATCTATATCTACAAATACTATACTCGTAAAGAGGAATGATTTGTGTAAGTATGTATGTAATGAATTGGCTCTAAAAGTACTGGACCGATTTTAAAAATTTTCACCATTTGAATGCTACATTATCACTGAATCATATAGGCTATTTTAATTGCAAGATTAAAAATAAGGATCCCAACTAAAACTAAAAAAATATCTTTTATTGCATGCGCTGCGAAAAGTATTGATGATATATCCACAATATTCCAAAATATTAAAGAACATATTAATATCTACAAAAAATGTTTAAAAAATAAATGTCCACCCGTGCGGAGCCGGTACGGGCTCTAGTACTATATAAAATAAAAATAATAATCATGTATTATTAAAAGCACTGAAGGTTCTAACAATAGTAAACAATATGATATAATAAAAGTCTTCACCAAATCTCATTGGACAATTTACGACAAATAAGGAAGTCAGTTTTACACTGCAAAAACAAATAAACCAATTTTAACATTAATTTTGTGCGTTTCAGGAGGCCGCATCGACCACGCCCACCACGACAGCTACGCACTTCTAGCGCTCGACGAAACCGTGGAATATGCAAAAGCGGTGAAAAAAGCAAAGGCCCTTACTAACCCTGACGATACGCTAATAGTGGTCAGTTCCGACCACGCCCACACTATGACAGTGGCTGGCTATCCCTCGCGAGGGAATGATATATTAGGAGTAGTTGATACAGCAAGAGGCATGGATGGAAAGCCTTATACTACAATTAGTTATGCCAATGGGAAAGCCAAGTCGTTGGACGAAAGCGGCAGAGTGGACGTAACGCTGCATAGCGAATTCTCTAGTAGTAAGTATAATAATAATTTATTTGCAAGATGGTACAGAGATATTATGGTGGTACAATCTAAACTTCTCATATTCTGCCACACAAATTTATCTTAAATTTTTATGAATTTGACATAGCTTGTTATTTTGAATAGTAATCATAACAATATAATACAATATTTACAATTTTCTTAACCTACATAGGAATAATACAAATTAATAAAAATAAAATTCAAACAAATTTAAAAAGTTTGGTCCCTGTGTGTGTACCTTTAACGCTGGCAGCATTTCCTTGCTTTTCCTATTTTACATAGTAGTTACACATATCATCATATTCAATTATTATATTATTATATCACTACATCATCATATTACTAAAAGATATTATTACATTATTAAAAGTAGTATATTTAAAGTCTAGTAGGAAGATCGTTAAATGTTTTTGATATATTATTAAAAACCTTGATTATCTGTGTATTGATGTAGTCTCTGACGTTCTTGTAAAAAAATAGCTATTTTGACATTTAAATTACATCTTAACTTAGTTTCTTATCTATGTATAAGTCATAAAAAAATAATCAGGCTTATTTGGCCATTTGAAGGTGCGAAGAGTATCTGTCTCTATTCATGACAGCGTAAACACAATTTGACAGAAAGACACATGTGCTTAAGTTAAATAGATAGAGAGTTAGTCTCCACAATTAAAAAGCAAGTATAATGAAGAAGAAATTGTGCAAGTTTTGCAAGTAATATCAGGGCTTAAATATTATTCTTAAATGCTATACCCCAAATAGTAACTGAAAGTTTTGTGTGAAAAAGTGACAGTTGACATATTAGACCAAAGCATTCTTTAACCATTAGCTTTTTTTATACGTTTTTGAACACGGCCATGAATATCAAGAATATTTGAAAGTTATCTTAGTTATCAACAACAGAAAAAATTTCTCCGATCTTATCAAATAATCACAGCAATGTTATGTTGAAGAAATAGCATACAATTAAATGATTAAGTTTCAATAAATAGTATTAAAATCCTTTATATTAAAAAAATTCTCTTATTTACAGAAGCATTAGACTATTCCTACCCAAGCCTGGTTCCTCTTGACTCCGAGACCCATGGAGGTGAAGACGTAGCAGTTTACGCATCAGGACCTTGGCAGCATCTCTTCACGGCCAGCTACGAACAATCCGTTGTTCCGCATTTAATGGCATATGCTATGTGTATTGGTGAAGAAAAACATGAAAACTGCGAACCAAAAATGGGTCATAGAAGCTTTTGGACCTCTGATAGTATAGCGAATAAACCAAATAAGTATTTTGTAATTTTAACTTGTGTGATACTTGGCTGTGTTAGATTTTTAGGTTAGTTAGACAGCGCCATCTAGATCTTATAAGGGTAACATTCAGAGACACGAACAATTTCCAACACGTTTTTGACACAGCGATCAGCTCTCTGTATCTCTGTACCCTTAGTTTACGAAAAGTTTTATAAAAGATTCCTACTAACACTAAAGTAATTTGGCAGCATTGAACAATAACGTCCATTTAAGAGGATCAATCATTAATAATAGGTAATAATAAAACCAATTTTACGATTTTCAAGTAATGAATCAACTTAAAACAATTGAACGATCAATTGTAAACCAGCGCCATTACTGCATTACTTTCCTATGCTTATTATAGTAATCGATACTTTACTTGAAAATCGTGATCCCATAAACAATACGATTCGTTTATATAACTTGACGTTGCGGCATAATATATTATTGTACTTAAATCTCGAATACATTTAGAGTAAGAATATATAATGTTAATTTAGGCTAAAAACTTAATTTATTGTTAGAACTGTACATTAAATTTCTGACGTGAAAATAGCATTTATAACGCGTTTTAAACATTGATCTTTATAAAGCAATGTTAGAGAGAAAAATATTTTCTCTCGATCTTTCAAATGTCGTACTCTCCCCGAAGATTAAGAAATTTCCTAATATATATTTCTATTCCTCTTCCTATATATTCAATATTCATAGTCTAGTGGGGGCCCGCCGTCTCGCGAGCCCCGCCCCTACGCTTTGGTTCTCTCTAAGTGACAGATTTTTCAATTCTATACAGAAATTTTCCAGTTGCGATCTGAAGCTTCTTAATATTTTGGGTAACTCTCGGCAGTTACCTTATCGATTTGTTGCTCCAGGTTGTTTCTGGAAGCTCCTAATACTGGGCATTCTATAATGAGATGCATTATTCTGACTTGTATGTAGGTCGCACGTACATCAAGATAGGTGGTCCTAACATCTACACCTGCAATGACATTAAACACCTATTCAAACTATGACAATGTTATCAGTAATCGGGTGTTAATAAATTAGCACAAATAAACGCGTTTTAAATGTTCTTTTTTAAATAATATACGGCCAGACTTTGTTCCTTATTTGTATAATATATAAAATGTATTTTGGCACAACACAAGGGTAGCCGAGTGTGATTTATTTAAATTATGGTGCAAATACTCGTCGAGACATCACGAAACTGCCTGGAAGCAAGTGGGTGTATGCTTGCTTACTCTTCGCGGCCACATTCGTTTGATGCAACTTGCGCCGTGAGAGATGAGACTATAGACCAAAACTTAGTCAGTATTAGATTTCCAGGCCAATTTCTATGCGTAGGCAAGCAAGCATACTATTTGAAACGATAAATCAGGAGTGCGCGGGGTTTTAGTAGCTGCCTCGACTTTTCAGGTTCTCGGCGAGTGTGTACATCCAAAAGTTTAAATAAGCTCATGGCTGATATACGATTTATTTTACTAAACTTGGAATATTAAAATAATATATAATATAGTTATAATATTATTATAGTAGTATTAAGTCGGTGCTGAAATTGTAAATATCTAAATGATCCATATTAATTAATTTATAAGTACATAAAAAACAAACAACAAAGTGACAAAATAATCTTTTAATTTGACTAAAATGAAATTGTATACAAAATTCACAATTAAGATTCAAATAAATGTATTAAATAGTTTACCAAAAGCATGTTTAATAAACCATATTTTAAGAAACCCCTTTTTAATATTTTACTGAAGACCTGAATTTGAAAAATTATTATATTTTGTTTGAAAAGGCTTCCTTTTTAATTACACAAGATGTAGACACACTAAATTGGGCATTTTTATAGTGATTCGTGATTTTGCTTTTGGACCATAGCAACGGTTACAGTGCAGTAAAATTTGGCATTATTAAGTTAGGATTCACAGTTTATTTATGATAGCGCCCTCTAGTTTAGCAGTGCAGATATGATTATATATTCTTCAAATATCTTATCTTTCATGTAGTGTTCCCAGTCTTTCATAGATATCGCTTCTTACAGTTAGTTTTTATTTCACATTTAATCAATTTTCTCAATCAAAAGTCTCCGGCATCCGCGTTGCCGGCATTTTAATAATTGGTAGACACTTTTCTTCACTCTTATAGTTGGTAGGAGAAAAAAGGTTTTTCTGCCGATTTATTAATATTACGTAGTTTACATGTAACTAAATACTTCGATTGGTGAGATTTTGAAAAGGAAAATAAACCATATATATTTCGTATGTGTACCATACTATATGTCACTTATCATTTACAGACGTGTTCAAGAATGCACCCAGCAAGCAAAACTCAAAGGCAATTTAAATTATTGACTCTTTAACGAATAATTAGTTAATCTACTGCCACTCTCTATTAAGGACCCCTATTGATATCAACTGATGACAAAAGCCGTTTGGTGTGGTACAGTTAACCGTACCGTAGTGATGTCGAAGATTTTACTTAAAAGGGCTCCCAAATTTGACGACTCATTGGTCTAGTGGTTAGTACCCCTGACTTCGAAACCATGGGTCCCGGGTTCGATCCCCGGCTGAGACGAACATCGATGTGATGAGCATTTTATGTTGTGCTTAGGTCTTGGGTGTTTAAATATGTATTTACATGTCTATCTATGTATAATATGTATGTATATCCGTTTGCCTAGTACCCATAACACAAGCTTCACCAGCTTAGCATGGGACTAGGTCAATTGGTGTGAATTGTCTTTAAAAAAAAAAAAATCTTACACATTATAATGATTTGCTGACAAATTAATAAACACATCTTTATTTATTTTATTTTATATGTAATTAATAACACATTATTGATACTGTACATGATATCTTACATTTGATAATAAAACAATTTTTTACCGGATTGAAGTTATGTATTTACAATTATTTTTCATACTTTTAAATTTAACCGACGTTTCGCGTGCTTTACAGCGTGCGTGGTCACGGTGAATGAAGACAAAAGGTGTTGAATGTAAAAAAGTATCACAGCTGTATAGAAAGTTGTATTATCTGTATTTATTTCCCCGGAGTTGGTATCGACTAAAAGATGGAGGGTTTTGGCAGAAATGGCTCACGGTGTCCTCTATTTTCGCGGATAACTTCAATCCGGTAAAAAATTGTTTTATTATCAAATGTGTGAAAGTTATGTCAATAAAATACAATAATATGATATCGTACATTCAAACTCGGTTGTGGATTTTTAACTGTAACTTAAATAAATAAATAGATACTTTCTCATATGGTGAAGGAAAACCTTGAGAGGTCAAACAAATATCAACACAGTATCTGCATGCCAGGCACAGTAGGGCACCGCTTACTTATCCAATACAGACAAGTCAGGCCTCGCAATATTAAATAGATAGCAGGTACGATTCCCGACTGTTCACCAATGTTCAAATAACATACAAAAAAGTGCGTGCGTACAAAGTACACATGTCAGAAGTGAAGTTTGTAAATTAATTATTTCTAAAAGGTAAAAGCCCGAATAGATGATCATGTACCAGTATATGATCACTCCATGTATTTGTATATCTATATTCACACTGTTTGCACACTGTATACGTGCTAATGATAATATAAATAAATAAAAAATCTACGTTTACTGCACAAGACGTTATGCGACAGAATTGCCAACTAAAGTTCTAATATGTAACTACTAAACGAATACATCAATAGCGTGTACTTTTTCTCTCAATCTTTCTCACTATAGCTCTCTCCCACCTCTCGCTCCTTGGCACTGTGCGTGGTGCGACGTTCGCTCTTTCTAACTGTCTCTCAATCGGTGAGATTGACGACGCTAATTTTATTATTATTGCGTTTCATCCGTAAAAATTTTACCCTTATGCGCCTAAAGAAGTTTCACTTCAATAAAAAAAAATTCGAGTACTACATAAGTCCATGGCATTATGTTTCACACTAGTAGGTACTCGACCTTCGACGGAGTGAAGGTCTCGTCAAAACTCTTTCACTTGTCTGTATTCCTCGCGACAATTATCCATACATGAACTTTAAATAAATTTAACACTCAACGGTAAAGGAAAACATCCTGGGAAAACCGGCAGGCCTTAACAGTCGTCGGCGCGGCGCGTGAAAGGTATATATAGGTATATAGTGACGAAACACATACAGAAATATGCGACCCAGACCTTATAGATTTTGGGGTCACTGGTTTTTTTTCTAATAGGAGGCAAGCGGGCTGGAGGCTCACCTGATGTTAAGTGATAGACATGCCCATGGACACTCAAATTGCCAAAGGCTCGCAAGTGCGTTGCTGGCCTTTAAAAATGACAGTGAGGAAATTTACAGTGGGAATCACTAACGTCAATATTAAATAGGTAATGTCCCTTTTTCCTATATGTATTCGTAATTAGGAATTATTTACCGAGAAATGTTACCTCAGCGGGTATTTTATGAAATGTCATTTACGATATAATAGAATCATTCGTGCTCACTTGGAATCTAGCTTTTTAATTCCTTCTTCTGGCTTCTTTCTTCTTCTGTCTGACGTGTAGACTAGTAATACATTGCAACAACTAAGACGAGTCTACCAGAAATCCAATGCAATAATTGTATTGTGCATAATTTTTATATTAGATTCTAAGATTTTATTTTTCCTCCTCGTTGTCTGTAAGAAACTGCTCTTAGCAGTAACACCACGCTTTTATATTCTTTCTTTTTACCGGTTTTGTGATGGAAATTATTATTATTACTAAAAAAGATGGATAAGATCGGGGTAATCTTACTGATTAAGAGCAGTTTAATCACAATTTCATAATTATTTATTCAGACTTCGTTACATTTATACAAAAACATAATAATTAAAAATTGTAAGAGATACAACGGGCGGCCTTATCGCTAACAAGCGGTCTCATCCAGGCAACCCTAGTGAGGGAAAAAACTAAAAAATAAGTATGTACGGTAGGGCAACAAGTGCATAACCAAATCTTATACAAACATTAATAGAACCTTAATCTAAAATATTACAAAAAAAAATAAACTAAATAGAAGACCTTGGGTGGAAGTGACAAATTTTGCGTCATAGTGACGGATCTGAGAAATAGTAAACTTTGTAGGGCAGCCATTTCAAAATAATATAAGCATGTTAGTTTTTGTCATAACTATTTTAATTCATATTCTGTTATTATGAAAATTGGAATACAAGCAAACAAAAGGGTTTGTTTTGAAACAAAATAAAAATAATAACATTAAATTACACAGTTTTCTAGACAAATCACATGTTTCTATCAAATCCGTCACTTTACCGACTGTTTAATTTGAAATTTAAAACAAATGGATTTTTTTAAAAGTAGCCGTAATATTTAGTCAATGTAGTATCCAAATATTATAAAAAGTGGATTTTGGATATTTTTCAAATCCGACATTGTCTACGATCGTGACGAAATAGTCGTACCTGTGTTAGTCCGAAAACGAATTGAACCCTGTTAATACATTAGCATTTTTGTCACATGCATAATTGTAATGAATTAAACTAATTATAAATTGTATGGAGTAGACTTAAACTAATTTTTTAAATTCTACTTTAACCAACAATATCCTCGTTGAGTCAGTTCAATTTCAAACTTACGTCTTTACAGCGTAACTAAAATCTCGTTACAATTTACGATTTTTAAACATGCATGCGTCATAATAATAATTGATAAAACTAGATTAGCACTGATAATAGAAAAAAGTTAAAATAGTCCAAAATTGAGTAAATACTTCTATTTATGAGACATGGGACAATCAGATCAGATTTATTATATAACAGGCAGGAGGCACATCTGAAATTAGGTGATACGGCCATAGACTAAGTTATTCACATGAAGGCATAATGTGGAACTGCAAATGAAATCACACGACACAATTTTAGGTCTCAAACATGAAGTATAAAACAAAAAAATACAATTTTTCATTGACATTTAGTAATCCAAGTTCACTATTTAATAATCTTAAATATCATTGTGTAAACCAAAGTGCTTATACTTGTTATTACTTAATTTTAAAATAAGACATTAAAAACAAAAACGTGCGTGTACTTGCGTTGTACACGCGTTAGAAGTTATACTTCTCTGGCGTAACAAGATAAAAATCTTTCCATAAATGTTATACGTTTTTAGAAAAAAATGACACTAACAATAGAAAAAACTTAAATGTTAACAATAGATAACTTCAGGGTGTCGGGTTTTGTGACGGTGTGCGCGCGCATCGAAAAATTTTACTCATATTATTATTATTATTTTTTTTTTTTATCATTTTTCCCTAACGCGCCAAAAGAAGCAACTTCAATTAATCAAACAGTTTCGTTTCGTTCATTTCTCTAAGAATCACAGAGAATGACAATTATTCCATGTGCCTCCTACGAACTAGAATTACCTGCATAATTCGCCAGTGTTTCGGGCTTTATATAACTATGATACTAATTGTGAGGATATTGATATTTTCCACCTCACCAAAGAGGTTAGGAAATATTTGAAGAGGCGGTAAAACTTTGTTTTGCAGTAACATATTAGTTTTTTAATTGAAATATTAGGTATTAATTATAGTTTGTTTAATGTTACATTTCAGTTTTTTTTTTATTTTTTATTTTGTCTATTAATGTAGTTACTTATGTTTTCTGTTTCATAGATATTGTTTGTCTATGTAATCTGTTTTGGCTTTTTATTATCTAAGTAAGATTACTAAATATATAAATTCATAAAGTAAAATGCTTTGTTGACAGGTTGTCTTCACTCTTGGTATGTGTATGGAGACACAGTACTGTACCAGGCTACAGTAGAAGATGAAGAAGAAAGAAGTAACCGATGTGTTCCAAGGGAGGGTAAAATAGCAAATTCCCGACCCTGTTCCCCCAATCGATTCGACCCGGTATGGTGATTACTGTACTTTTCAAGGTTTCTAAAATTTTCTTCTACTAATGATAAGACTACTTCAAAATATTTAAATAATTTTATTTGCGTAATACCAACTCCATGCACGTCGCTGTTCTACCAAAATGGTATTAAGAGAATATGAAAAGATCAATGTCGTCAGTGTTATGTCAACCACTGCTCCGCTAAGATATAAATAAAGATATATACAATAATATAATAATAAGATATACCTGTGGTTCAGTTTTTATTTTTAAAATGAATCTGTGTGTGTGTTTGGTTATTTTAAGTTTTAATTGTGTAAAATCAAGAAGTATTTCGGAGAAAAGTAAGTCTTATTAATAGACGGTAGTATTTTATAAATTTGTTACTAAACATTTTTATACAATTTTAAATTAATATTTTTAATATGAATATTAAATAAACTGAATTATAACGCTATTATTCATATATTTTATTCAATATTATAATTATTACTACGAGTCTTTTTTATATAACACGGGGCATATGGGCAAGAGGCTCACCTGATGTTAAGTGATATTTTGATTTGAATTGATGGACATTGATTGACATGATTTTACCCACACATGGACACTCTTAATGCCAGAGGGCTCTTTTTTTTAATGTATCATGGACCCTCACACTGCCAGAAGGCTCGCAAGTGTGTTGCCGGCCTTTTACGAATTGATACGCTCTTTTCTTGACCCTAAGCGACTTAGTTAATAAAAAAATAATTTGTAAACTGTGTTTTTTGAAGTTATAAACGCTTGTCACTTGTTTTGTAATTATTATAACATACTTCTATATTCCATATATATTCATTGTTTTCCCGGCTGCCTTGGTTAAATACAAAAAAGGTATAGCTGTGCTATCCAAATGCTGCTATTTTGCTGGAATTCTGTATCATTAATTTAAAAAATTAATTTAAATTTAATGTATGACGGTAGTTAATTAGTTTTTCAAATTAATTAAGTACCGTCATACGTTATTTGTTATCTATTTCCTTTACACGAAATAGATAAATGAAGAAAAAAGTCTAATTAAAATTTAGCTTTAGTTTAAAATACCAAGCGTTTATATAACTATTCGTAGTTATATAAACGCTTGGTATGAACACAAGTAAATAAGAGTTAGATGAAATATCGTGATTTATGATTTCTATATTAATATTATGTATTAACAATTAAACACACATTCAAACATTTTTATTACGAAAAGATTCGTTATCTTTTTTTGAGTGTTGTGTCCAACAAATTTTATAAAACAATTGACAGTCCGTACATGATGAACATATATACTTATAGAGAGAAGGGAAGCCCGGAATTATCTCATGTTGGCGAGCAAGATATTTTCCTTGAACTTCAAATCACTGAAGTGACCAATTAACATTTTATTCAATAAGAGTATTTTTCAAGGGACCGGAGAAAGAAATCAAATTATCAAGTGTAAACTGTACAAGTCAAGTACGCTCATAAAAAACTATTGACGACTGGTAGCATTTACGGATCGTCATTTGAATAGAGAACGAAGGCATTGTAATGGTTAATTATTTTATTGTCCCTTTAGGACAAGGCTCCTCTGATTAGAAACATGTAATGTTGCGAAATTATCGTGAAGGTATTCTGTAGAAAGCTAACCTCGACCTAGGAATCATAATGAATTCTCACGGTTATTTTTGATACTTAATTATTAAACACAATATACACGATAACTGTACTGTATTGGATGTTTTAAGGTATTTTTTATACGTTTTTTAGCTGTAAAGAGAAAGCGTACAGGCTTTTTTTATGGCTCTGGCACGGTTTGTGCATTACCCAGCGTCAAGTATAAGATTTTTTGTAATTCGTGCTTGTCTTTAGAAATTCGACCGTGTCCTCCATGTACGGTTTAAGCACTCGCCCGGTACCGCACAACCCTCCCCTTGCTGTATCTAATATTACGGCTTTTTGAAGGATGTTAAATGGATTTCAGGTGGTCTATCTAACAATTAGATAGATTCGTGTAACTGTTTTGGGTTTATTCATGTGGTTGACAAAAAAATAGGGAGTATTGATACTTTGTTACGGGTCCAAAAAAAATATGTTTATTATGGAATATAAGATACATGAATCACTTATTCCACGTATTAAATTTGAATCTGTAGGCATCCCTACTTATCGGCAAAGAAGACAGAGGGTGCAGGCCGAGAGAAAAAGCCGGCGTAAAAAACTCTCGGTACTCTTTTAAAATAGCAAATCATCAAACAACACTTATTTTAAAACAAATATCGAAAATTAATTAGAAGTTGCCTGTTTAGAACTAGTCCCAGTCCCTTTTCTCAACTATATATACGTTAACTTTATAGTAGTTCTTTAATACATTTCTTAAATTTAGTAAAAGGCAGAGATGAAAGAGCCTTAGGGATTTTATTAAAGAAAAGTATCCCTTTTCCCAAAAAATAATTACTAAGTTTAGAGTCTAGTACGGGGAAATTTCACATTATTTTAATTGCGTGATTTTATGAGCTTATTATTATTACTATGTAAGTTGGTATTATTTTGTTATAAGAAATATTATTTATTTTTAGTTTAAATTATATATTATTTCTGTCAAAAGACAATATGTTCACGTGCAATCACGGTACTTATTTTGCCAACTTAAAACAATATCTTCATTCAAAATGTTTCTGCACCATTGTTTCAATATTGCTTTGAGAAACTTATCGGTTAATAAAATTTAAACAATTCAATTTGGCAACTACAAATATATACAGGAAATATTATGTAATAACTTTAATATTAGATATTATATTGAATGTCTTTGCCACGTCAAATAGTGGTGCTGTCATTTGCATGACGGCCGTCATAGCGGTGATAAACATTAGTTCAACGTTTTTCGCGTGTAGCGGTGCCCATATTTAATTAATACCATGAGTGGAAACGTAACTTGGACGAGCGAAAAAGATGTTTTTTTTTGTATTATGTTAAAAAGTAAAGACGGCCGTTATTAACAACCGTAAAATACCGGCCGTTAGTTAACGGCACCGCTTTTCTAGTAAACCTAAGCTTAATAACCGTAAAATGACGGCCGTTAGTTAACGGCACCGCTTTTCTAGGAAACCTAAGCTTTACCCTTCCTTGGACGTAATAGGGTTTTGTTTAAAAGTTTCACAGCCCAAGGCATTTCCTGTTGCTAACTAGCGAACTGTGTAATCTACTCCCAGTGGAGTCCTACCCTAGGAGATATGTCCTTCAGATATAACTAAGAAGGAGCGTACTCTAAGGACGGCAACGTATCTCCTAACCAAATAGTTGACCATGAGCTGCGTTATCTGCCTTTTATGACCGTCTCGTAGGATTGTTTCTCTCCTTATCGTATAACAAAAGTATTTATATTACAGATTCTATACCAAAAAGGACATTTGACGAAAAGAATAAAGAACACTGGAGACAGCAAGCACAATGGACTTTGCGGGCAAAGGTATTTATATATTTTATATATATATATATATATATATATATTCCCCCCCTTATAGCCATTTTTATTTATATTTTTTAAACCAACTCCATCACCCCCTTATAGCCTAACAGGCACGCGATCAGGCAGATATGTGGCCGAGAACAGTGTCAAAAGGCACTTTATTTGCATAAACTTAGCTCTGGTATCCAGGGATACCCTCATGCCAGTCTTCAGCTCTTTACATTTCTATGTATTTATGCTATGATTTTATGCTATTTTATTTGCAATCACTCCGCGATAGACGCCGTCTGATTCATCATCATCTTTGTTGACAAAATTTTAAATAACTTGGTAGATTTACCAAATCTTCTCAGTCAAGTGAATTTCCTCTTAAACAAGACACAAGAACACATCAGTCCTTCACGTTCGAGCAGTGAGGACCAACGTCTCTTGTAATACTCCGCTAAACAGATCTCTAACTGCAGTAAACGATGCAGTAAGGAGATCCATTTTATGACAGTCTCCATGTCTTCAGGCGTAAGATGCTGCAGCCGTCACCAATAATAACAATTGCACAGTAGACATATATTAAATTGCATATTTGTATTTCATAATCTAGTTTATTGTCTTTAATTTTTATTGTATAATTTATTTTCTCTTTTATCATTGTTATGTTTCACTGTAAATGTTGTGCACACTTGTCATTGATGCACATGCTTGTATTGTGTTTTTGTATGTCGTGTGTTCTCTGTGTATGTGTTTCGTTAGTGTGCCTTTATAAAATAAATAAATTATTTAACCGCTTCACTGCTGTAGCAGTAAGAAACTACATATTTATTGTAAAAAAAAACTTTTTTCTCACTAGGTATTTTTGTATTAGTTACGTTTATTAACACAATATTTTTTTTTAAAATTAAATCTGTATCACGTCGAACACTTGGCTATTGTCAAATAAACGCTTTCGAATCATGTACAGACACGTGTGAAAATTATGTGATAATTAGTTCCAAATTATATCAAAAATATACCCCACCCTCAAACTAGAAACTGTACGTAAAATTCTACGGAAGTTTTTTGATGTGAAACATCTATAGCCGCACGTAAAACCGATTTCTGGCGTGGCGACGCATGCCGTGGCGAAGCGTCGCGTGTACGGTGTGAGTATTTCGAAGTCACTGATTAAACGCATTAAGTAGTCACGATTTGAAATAAATTCGTAAATTTTTGTATTTAATGAAAATAAATGTTTATTCAATAAATAGTCATCGTTATCTGAAAAAAAAAATCGTAATATTTTATTTTATCATTATGACATACATATTTAGTTCCTATCACAATCTGTTCTTTTCTACATATTACTTTTACAAAATAATGTCGATGTTTCACATCTGCCAGGCGTCCCGTGATGGCTCACATTTTTCTTTTTGTTGAAGCAATATAATAATTACAACTCACTTAATAATTTCAGCTGAATAAGCCACAAAACACAAAAGTAGCGAAGAACGTAATACTATTTCTTGGTGATGGTATGAGTATCACCACACTGGCAGCCACCAGGGTTTATTTGGGACGAAAGTATGGATATACAGGAGAAGAGGTCAAATTAAGTTTTGAATCGTTCCCTCATACCGGATTGGCGAAGGTAAAAAAGCTTTATATATTTTCACTGAATACAGTATATTATTTAAATTTACTTTTAAGATTTTATTACCAAACATTTGTGTAATATTTAAAGTTATCCTACAATGGAGCGTTGGGTGGAGACATCTCTATGTGCTTTACTGATAGTAAGAAGAGAAACAAATTCCTTGATAATAGCACAATTAACTATATTCCTATTAAAATAAATTTACAATCTCATATACTTTTCTACTTTTCTCCGGGTATCTCGAAAAAAAAGTTGCCAACATACGAAACGAGGCTAGCGCACTTTAAGATGTTGTCATTGGAGAATAGTAGAAATTTAATTGATATATCGATTGTCCTAACCTTTTAAATAAATGTAACTTTACACCAGGCATCCCATCATCTCATTTTCCCCCCTTTCAGAAGAACGAGTTTTTGGTCAAAAAATCCATCCAGATTGAGCATTCTGATAAACGAGCTGGGTCTGGATGTCCATAGTTGCTCATACTTTAAAATCGATTTTTGTTTAGTTTATTACGGAGAAAGAATTGTTTGGGTTGATCCCTCCTGCCTCCTTTCAACACCCACGAGCTGAACGACCTCTAAATTTCACCAGCATCATCTTGATGGTTGGAGGTCTTCCACAGTCCGTTTCACAAGGCATTTTCTTTTGCGAATTCTTTTCTTTTTGGTCGTCCCGCAAGCTCGTTTGCCCCCCTATCATATTAAAAAAAAGTTTTTGTAGTTTAATTGTTTTGTTTAATTTCTTATTATTATCTCATCATGTATGTTATGTTTGCCTATATATGTCCCAAGCGTTGGAAAGTTTTTATAAATGTATCATGAACCCACTGACGTCTTTTACAAAACCATGGTGAACTGAAAATCATCGCTGTCTTTAGTCTTCTTCTTTGCACTTTAAAATGTCTTTTGTTTTTCTAGTTATTAAGCAATAGTAATTTAATATTTTGTGATAGTGGCGAACACCATAGTAACTTTCTTTTAAGGTAAAACCCAAATTAAAATCATAATTATACAAAATTTAATGAATTTGCTAATCAAATTTTAAGGTTGAAAAAATGGTTTTCTTCCTTTCTTCCTTCTAAGACAATTAATGATATTTTTCAGACATACTGTGTAGACAGCAATGTAGCCGACTCTGCTTGCAGCGGCACAGCCTACCTCACAGGTGTGAAGGCGAACAGTGGCACGGTGGGGCTTAGTGGGGCTGTCAAGCGTGGAGACTGCGAAGGACAGCGCGATACAGCGAACACTGTTACTGGGTTGGTGGACTGGGCGCAGAAGTCTGGAAAAGCTACAGGTAATACAGAAAAATATTAATATCAACTGAAATGGTGAACCGAACAGTGCGTATAAATGCACCGAACAAAAGCACCCGTCACACTACCCTCATGTACCTCGTTGTAATGAAAACTGTCCGGTAATACCAGGAACATTCATTATCCATACACAGATTAAACGTTTTCCTAGACGAAGCGATGTTTTTAAGACTGTTATCTGTGGGAGGGCAAAATATTTAAAATAAATAAAGCTTAATCTTTTATTATTTTGTTAAATGAAGTACATTTAACAAAATAAAACTCTGTTATTGGCTATAAGTTTCAACTTATGTAAGGTGTGATAATGTATGAAACTATATAATAGATAATAAATGCGTGAATTGTGTTGACTCAGTATGTTAGAATAATTACATTAACTCAATTAAATAGTGAGAGTTTTGTTAAACGAAAACTAGACAGCATATGCTAAGCGGAGATATGTCTAATATGGCTGCCCAGGAGTAATAATGTATACATTTGTTCAAATATAAATGTGAATAAAAAAATAATTAAGAAATTTTAAATACATTCATATATTGTTTGTCGCAAAATACATAAATTTATTTCAGCTTAGCGCATCAATACAATTTTATTAATTTTCATTTTCCTAGCACTGCGCCTTGACACTAAAATATTAATCGAAAGAAAACTCGGTCAAGACTGGCCATTAAATATTAGTTCCAGTGAAACGTTTCCTTTATACAAATTAATTAATCAAATCAATCAAATCAAATCAAATCAAAATACGTTTATTCAATTTAGATGCTTCTTAAAGCATGCTTATGAATGTCAACAACGTTTACAAAATTCACGAAAGAGCGAAAGACTACGCAATCAACTAAGCATTACAATGAGATTTGTATTTTGTGTGCAAAAAGTATCTCTGTACTAACCCTATTTTACCATTGTTTGTGATGGTTTCGATTGATACACATAATTACTATAACTACGCGTGTTTTTCTGCTCTTAATAAGCATATAAGACAAAAAATAGACTAATGTATGCTAGAGTTATATATTACATTTACGTTTAAAGAAGATTCTTATAAAAAACATACATGTCACATAAGATTTTTTTTAAAACATCTGTAAAATATATCACGCCACCGTCGACGCTGTCATTGCCTTAGAGTCCACTAAGGACACTAAGGGTCCGCTAAGGAATTATTTGGCGAAACTAAGCGACTTTACAAATAAAATTCTACTGGCTCCTTAGTCTGCATAAATAATATTTGTGATATCTTAATATATATAAATTACGTGTCACGTTGTTTGTCTATGTTTGCTATGGACTCCTAAACTACCGAACCGATATCAATCAAATTTGCACACCGTGTGCAGTTTGATCTAACTTAAAAGATAGGATAGCTTACATCTTAATTTATACCCGCAATATTATTTTATTGCAAAATATTTGTTAATTATTTGATAGACACAATTCTAACAGATCGCGCTGTGTTGGAAGTACCAACGTTTCACATAAGCTACAATTTAATGACATAACCACCAAAAAAGCATGGTGGTCCCCATGACTGGTGTTTTCCTACCGTTTCCCTTGAATAGTTTGCTACTATGTAATATAACAAAAACCTTAGCCAAAGCAACGCTAGGCCGGTCTGCTAGTGTAATTATAAAATCTAATTATGTGGCGTCAATAGTCTTGATCTCCTTGCATTAGTGTCTGGGTCAGCCATGTGCCTGGCACGTGTTAATTTTTATATTGTAGATGATAGGATTTCTCACGATACCATTACCGTAGGCAAATAGTTATTGCGAACATTCGAAAAAAGCACCAAGGCTAGCACTAGAACGCCCGGAGACCAGCCTTGCGATTCTGTAACTCACTTTTCGAACTCTCACTGCGGTTTTCAGTATGTTTTTTTTCAAAGTGAGTTACAGAATCGCAAAGCTGCCCTGCGATTCTGTAACTCACTTTTCGAACTCACACAGCGGTTTTCGCATCGGCGGTCGCTCTCAAATCAGTCGTGAAGCAGTCATTTTATGATTTGGCATTCTGAAAAGGTGGGGGGTTGTAGTTTATTGTTTATTAGAATGCCAAATCATAAAATGACTGCTTCACGACTGATTTGAGAGCGACCGCCGATGCGAAAACCGCTGTGTGAGTTTGAAAAGTGAGTTACAGAATCGCAGGGCAGAGGATAGAGACCATTTATAAAACTACATGATAAATAACGTCGTATATTTTTTACATTTACTGAATAAATTAAAAAAATGTTAGTTATTTCGACTATGTATTTGTGTGTTGCTCCCACGAGAACGTAAGTGCGTGCTCCTATTTCACCATGCCTCCTGCTGATAGAGGACAAATCTTTGTTTTTAATTTATATTATTATTATTTATTACTTAATATGTCATGGGGAACATGATGTAATGGTTGCAACTCCTTATAAACGTTGTGTAAAACAAAAAACATGGCGATTAAAAAGAGTGGCGGAGAGTTTATTGCCAGTTCTCTTCCGTTCTACGCCCTTGATTTGAGAACTGGCAGTAAATGTAAAATTAGAAGCATTTAATGTATATTTCTTTTTGACGTTCATAAGTGGACATTGTGTTACCTATATGACTAAATGATTTTTGACTTTTGAAAGACTTTTTTACGTATTTCCGTCTAGTAATTTCGATATCTATAACATAAAACGTTCCGTACTTCAGGGATAGTGACAACAACACGTGTGACACATGCGACACCGGCCGCTGCGTACGCGCATTCAGCGGACCGGAAGTGGGAAGCGGATACTGATTTACCGAAGCACGGCCTTCGGTGTGATGACATTGCCAGTCAGCTGGTGAGAGGCGGCGTGGGCAGTCGCATTGATGTATGTTTCCTGTTTCAAATGATTTAGTCGTATATAACAATTATTCGACTCTAAAAACAACTAGCATTTTTTGATACAGTGTAAACTCTTTACAACGAATTTCAAGGGACCGAGCATTTGTAATCGTAATAGAGAGATTTCGTTACAGGGAATAAGTGTCGCAAGACAGCGAGGAAATGCTGTCAGCGTTAAAGGTGCCATATGGACCAAACTTTTAAAATTTGTTTTAATTTTTTTTGTATTAATTTTTAATTATTTTTATTAATACGATACATTAATAAGAAAATTGTAAATATTGTTTATTTGAAAGAATTATTGTATGGGTTTTGTGTTAAATCAAACAAATTTAACTCATTTTTATGTTATAAAGAGATTTAGTTACAAAAAGTTTACACTGTATTTAATATTTGTAAAAAAAATGCTAGCCAAGAAGAATCCCAGAAACATTTTAGGTAAAAAAAATCTTAGGCTTTTCTGTTAGAACGTGCATGGGTTGCCTATATAGCAATTTGTGGTGTACCACTCACCTATTTTCGAAGAGTAGAAAATGGATATATTATCCCATCGGACTGGATTTTTCAGTTTAATGAACTGCCCTGCGATTCTGTAACTCACTTTTCGAACTCACACAGCGGTTTACGCATCGGCGGTCGCTCTCAAATCAGTCGTGAAGCAGTCATTTGATGATTTGGCATTCTGAAAAGGTGGGAGCTTGTAGTTTATTGTTTATTAGAATGCCAAATCATAAAATGTCTGCTTCACGACTGATTTCAGAGCGACCGCCGATGTGAAAACCGCTGTGTGAGTTTAAAAAGTGAGTTACAGAATCGCAGGGCTGTAATAAAATTGAGTATTCTTTTACACGTAATCGCTAGAGATGGTTTAGAGTTCGTATACGTAAAAATATTTAAAAGTTTAGTGTCCGCTAGGATGCGTGTAAAAGTTTCTTCCTGTATCCACATATTATAAACTCAAAAATGAAATATTATTAACATATTTTCAGGTTGTTTTAGGAGGCGGAAGAAAGAACTTCCTTCCACGCTCTGAAAAAGATTCAAGAGGGAAACCAGCCGGATACAGACGAGACAAAAATAATCTCATTCGAGAATGGCTTTTAGGCAAAGAAACTTTGGGACAAACTCCTAAATATGTTTATAACAAAAAAGATCTGTTAAATCTTGATAAAAAGTACAATAGTGTGTTAGGATTATTTTCATATGATCATATGCCATATCACTTAGAGGCTGATGAAGATAATCCAAGTTTAAGTGACATGACGCGAAAAGCGATTGAAATTTTGTCTAGAAATTCAAATGGATATTTCCTTTTTGTTGAAGGTTTGTATTGTAATTAGTATTGACTTACTTAAATTTATGTTCTATAACCCCCTAGATGAGGCATAGGGCGTCGACAGTGTGTCATGAATCGATCCTGAGCTAAAGTAAACGGTTAATAAAATTAATAATTATATTTAAAAATAATAAGTAAATGTTAGTTGTAAGCACGTCACAAGTCCAAACTTGTAATGTAATGTCAAAGGATTATATGTTAACACACTATAGGTAAATCAATTTTAATAATAATAAAAACATCCTTTAATAATAATCCTAATCCATAAAGATAATCCTTTGAAATAACACAGAATACTTATGTAATATATTTGTATGCCAAATATTGCTAAATGCTTCTAATTCCTAATACCAATAATTTCAGAGTAAAATATGTTTGCGTCAAAATTAGGTAATCTGAATCTAATATCATAACCCAAATAGATATTTTATAGTGTTCTATAACTAAGCAAACATAAAATTCATTCCAAATACAATTTAGGTGGGAGAATCGACACCGCCCATCACGAGACCAAGGCCCGGAAGGCTCTAGATGAGACAGCAGAGTTCGCGAAGGCCGTGGAAGCTGCTCTCCGACTTGTTAACACTGAAGATACCCTTGTCGTTGTAACATCGGACCACAGTCATACAATGACGTATAGTGGTTATAGTGAAAGAGGATCCGATATTTTAGGATTTGGAACTAAGGTATGACGAACTCTTTATGTGCTTATTCATATTGTGCGGCAATGTTATATATAGTAATATATAGTAATGAGCGGTTGAATTTGATGGACGAATGGAGCTTTTAGTGTCCTAAAGCGTGCTTTAGCTATTAATCTATCGATAATTTAATATGTAGGGAATCTCTGAGAGATAAATTCAAGGAAATTAATATACTTTCCCTCGCAAAATATTTATGAAAATATTATGTATGTATACAAAAATAGTGATAAGTTTACTAGAATGTAACATACGCACAATGTTAATACTCGGAATCGGAACGAACGCAGGCTGCAATTTCCCCGTACTAGACTATCTAAAGTTAGTCATTCTTTTTTGAGAAAAGGGATACTTTTCCTTAATAAAATCCCAGAGGCTCTTTTATCTCTACCTTTAATAAATTTAAGAAATGTATTAAAGAAAAGCTGTGTAAAAAGGCTTACTGTAAAGTTAACAATTATCTAGTTGATAAAAGGGCCTGGGATTAGTGCTAGACAGGCTACTTCTAATTAATTTGCGATATTTGTTTTAAAATAAGTGTCGTCTGACATTTGCTATTTTAAAAGAGAACCTAGAGTTTTTTTACGCCAGTTTTCGGCCTACACCCTCTGTCTTCTTAGCCGATGAGTAGAGAATAGGGATGTCTACAGTTTCAAATTCAATGACGTGGAATAAGTGATACCTATATCTTATTTTCCATAATAAACATAATTTTTTTTAATTTTTAAAAAGGCCTTCTCCAAGGCTTGATATCTTTCTCTATCCCGAGCTATTTGGATCCATTGAGGATTTATTTGATGATTATCCTATCGAGCCGGGTCTGCCTTTCTATCGTTTGCCTGTTGGGCCTCTCCATGTAGTTAATGCTTTCGTCCACCTGTAACCTGTGAAGCTCGCTACATGACCCGCCGGCATCCACTTCAGTTTTTTTGCGTGGCTTAGCATCAATTACTTTCGTCTTTGATCTTATTTTTATGTGTCGTATCGTGTGTACCTTACTTTGTTTCGCAGTCATTTGTTTTCTGCAATAGGCATTTTTTTTATTGAGAAAAAGCTTGCCAACGCTCGGCACACTGACACATTGGTAAAAACATACACAAAATACAATTTTGAATGTGACAACAACTTAAAGGCAAACATGACATACATAAAGAGATCATAACCTATTATTAAACAAATCAAACATTACAAAAAAAAAACAAAACAATTACTAATCAAAGAAAAAAATCAAATTACGTCGAACACACGCAATTTGTTGGGTTAAAGGCATGCTGATTTTTGTGTTAAAAGCATGCTGATTGCTGTGTCTACATCAGAATTGGGAAAACTACATTGAAATTGCAAACAAAAACGTCGCAATCGTTATTATAGTTACAGTGTACGGACTGTACAAAAGTTATGGAAATACTACCACGATTTTAATTTTTTTCCACCAGTAGATAGCTATTTCATTTTATTAAGCCAAAACCAGTGTACTACATAAGTATTAAAAATTAGTCATACTATGTTATTTTCAGATCAACGCGTCTGATGAACTCCCCTACACAACTTTGAGTTACGCAAATGGACCGGGGTACAGGCCGCACCAGGATTTCAGAAGAGCCAATCTTATGTTAGACGATGTGTGTAAGTAATTCCAATGATATTCTACTGTACAAGCATTACCTGTTCACATCATATTCCTAACTTTCGTACTAACTACTAACTGACGTGAGACCGATCTAAAATTATCGTGATTCATGTGCACTTTTTATTTTTCATGTATCCTTTTTTAGTTTAGTTTTGTCTTATGTATTTTTGCACTTCTTGCTTACCTTGTCTAATTTAATACATTTTTTTTTAGCGCCAGTTTCATAAATTACGTTCAATTTTTATTATGTTAATGCAACGCAGTGTTAATCAATAAATAGATATTAATTTACTTTTGCTCTAGCCTTCACGGTCTTGATATATCAAGACTTGTAAACTATAGGTGTCGAGGTAATACATTTTTCTTTGTACTAAACATTCGCTTGTAACAGTTATTTGTTACCAGATATAGCAATTTAATGATGATTTAATATTACAGCTAGCCTAAACTACACGTACCCCGCCCTTGTACCAATAGTACGGGAGACGCATGGTGGAGAAGACGTAGCTGTGTTTGCAACCGGACCTTGGTCTCACCTGTTCAGCGGGAATTATGAACAGAACTATATTCCACATGCGATCGCCTATGCCGCCTGTTTGGGTACTGGACTTACCGTGTGTTCATAATATAAAAGTTCCGTTGTATGCCACTAGATGGCGTTAAAATAAATTTGACTTTTAGCTCTATTATAGGAAAGTTGAGAGTGGATTTTAGCACTGTACTCGAACTTTCTTAAATGAAAAAAGAAACTGCATCCAATATTGTAATTTCTGTTGATTTGATTTGCCATTTTATTTAAATATCCCTAATTTTTTGTACCATAAATACATGTTGTAGGTTGTTAATTTAGCGTATATTAAAAATATGCAACAATTAATAAAATAAGTTTTGTTTAGTAATGTTTAGTCTCCAGTATTATATTTTAACTATTTTTCATCCTTTTACACATTCATCACTAAACGATTCATGAAATAGTGTTAAGGCCGATTTACATTATATTAGTGTTTAGGAGAGTGCTTTAGTACAACTTGAAAGGCAAGTTCTTCAGTGCTTTAGTGCGTTGCGAGTGAACGTTTACATTTCTTCCAGTAGAGTATCATTACAGCGCTACAATGAACGCGCAACGACGTCGGCAAATACGCTCTATTCTACGCAAAATACTAACTGTAGTTATGGAATAGATAGAAGTCGAGATTTTATTCGAAATAAATAAACTAAATATAAATAATAAACAAAATAGCTTCTTTTAAGGCAGTGTATGCCGAATGCCTAGCCGGTTTGTATTTGTATAAATTGTTTTTAACGTTCCACAAACATTCGTGAACAACATATTCAGACACAAATTTGATAGTTGTATCTTCCGACCATTTAGCCATCTTTAAAAATCAAAAAACACGCACGCGTTTCACGGCACTTATGCACTCTCCTAAAGATTTGACTAAATTACGTGTTTACACAAAACGAGGGAAGATCTCGGGGGGGTGCGCGGGCGCGAGAGGGGTATCACTTGAAACAAAAATAAAAAGCGATTCTATTTTGATTCAACTTGAAAGTCAAGTAGAACCGTACTAAAGCAAGTAGCGTTTACATGTTTCAACTAAAGTACTATCCTAAAGCACTCTCCTAAACACTAAGATAATGTAAATCGGCCTTTAAAGAAAGTAGAGATATTATACGTATAAATAAGATTTCATACACACTGTCAAGTTACGTGGTATTGTGATATTATTAATAATAAGAGTTATCTTTAAAAAAAAAAACTAAAATAAGAAATAAAAAAAGACTAAGATGAACTTTGTTTTTTTAATTTAAACACGTTGACGAACTAGTGTTAAACGTAAAAATGAATGTTATTTCTATCGTATTATATAGATTATTACTTAAGTCTTAATTGTTAATCCCTTACTGTATTAAAAGCCTCATAGCTAAATAATATTAATTAAAAAAAATCAATAAATTATATCTATCAAACTTTTAATGAGTTTATAAACGTTTGCCCCGTCTCACCTCCCAGGCGGAAAATAATAAATAGCTCAAATATAAAAGTATTTCCTCCAACTTCGATATTGTTCCATTTGATGTAGAGACTTGGGCCCTGGGGTACAAGTGCACAGGCGCTAATAAAAGGTTAAGTTAGCGCCTGGTAGATAGTACCGATGACCCCAGAGCTGGTGCTTTCCTCGCTCAACGAATAAGTATCGTAATCCAGCGAGGAAATGCTGCCATCGTTAAAGGTACACTGCCACAGGGACTAAACTTTTTAAATTTGTTTTAATATTCTTTTTATTAATTTTTAATTATTTTTATTATTACTATGTAGATTAAGAAAATTGTAAATACTAAATATTTAATTGTTATTTGTGGAATGACATTAATAATGTTTATAAATAAGATTTTGAAGTTAATAAACATTTAAGGTTAATCTGAGATTTTTCACTGTAGAATCCCAAAAATGTTTTTAAAAAATTAACAAAAAGTATCTCACATAGATGGTATATTTGTAAACTTAATTTTGTTTTGTTTAAAATAGGGTTTTGAAGACTCCATGCGCCATTTACAATTAATTCTAGTCTATGTGTTCCAAAACCTTTTTTGTTTTGCTTGAGATTGAACCGAACATGTCCAGCTTATCCGTCATGTACTGCCACTAAACCAATGGCTTAATAAACTATTCCAGGGTAATATCATTATCAATCTAATCATTTAATTCGATTCAATTTAATATGATTCATCATATCTGAATCATGAATTCAGGTCTGAAAATCGTCTTAACTGACCACATGATAGTTCAATGACTAACATGATTGATGAGGCCCCAGTCTTGTTATCGGGTGACTAAAGTCATGACAGAACAGTCAAGGTTATACTATCAATAAATTAAGTATTTTTTTATCCAAAACTGAATGAGAATGATGACTCCGTCACACACTATTCAACCCTTAAAGACGTCGTCAGATATTTGTGTCAGCCATTTCTTTTTATAAAACAGTGGGCAGAAGGAAAATGCGATGTTAATTAATACTGCCCATGGACAACCAACAATGCCCCCGAGCAAGTTGTATTGCGAGTATTGTAATAGAGTAGCGAGTATTTCTCTATTCTAAACAATTATTCTTATTTTTTTTATTTCTATATACTTTTACATAAGACTTCTTTACTTAGACTGTTAATTTTGACTATTATTCTTTTTTCTACTATTATTATTATTATTGTATTCTTTTTCTTTTTTGTCACTGAGGCGCAAAGTAGCTGTTATGGTCTCTGGCAGAATGACCAGCGCTCTGGAACACGTCTGCTCCTACGTATAATGCTGAGCCAGGGCCAGTTACAACCACAACACACACACATTACACACTTAAAATGTACCTTATTCTATAAAAAGACGTTATTTTTCTTTAATTTTTGTTTATTATTATTATTTTGTGATGTCTATGTATAGGTCTATGAATATTTTGTAAGCTAATATTCATTAATATTTTAATTGCGACAGCAACTTTCAAAATAGATAATAAAAGACAACATTATTTTTTAAATTTGTATTTCAAATAAGCTAATATCAGCTACTATACGTAGACGGTACATGATTAATTGATAAATATAGTAACTTAAACTGCCATAAGACACGACTTACAAATATATAAAATAAAATATACAAACTATTAATGAAGCTACACATAATATTTGTAGAATTCGGATTTCAATTTTTCTGATACATTTTAATTTAAAACGTAAAGTAACGTTTTTTAAATAAATTCTTTGGTTTAAACCTATTTAGCAAAGGAAAGGAACAGAAATTGAAATAGTATACAATCCATATTATATATTATCTTAAGTTAAAAGATTATTTGTTAATACATTTTGAAATGAGAATTAGTGAGGCTTAGTTGATAGTAACAAATATGATTTTATATATATCACGGGTACAATAGATTTGTACCCGTTTAGTAGCACACAGTATAGTGACAAAACTGGGTCAAGATGTACCTATTGACAATTACTGACACTACTGCGCTATCGAATATGTCGGCGTTTGAACGCCATAATTATTGTGTCCAGACTCCACGATGAATTGTTGAAGATAATGACGTCAGCAATACTGTCGTCATAAATTAGTTTGTTGGCACCAGCCATTTACTTTCGACATTAAAGTCCACTTTTAAAGGCTTCTGATTGGTTCGGCCGCTCAACAGAACTAAGCGCCGCACCCACCAGTTCCCATATATATAGCAACCAGAATTTGTGATAAACAAGTTTCGTAACATTTCGTGTACTCGTTCCACGACCGAACCCGAATCGACCACAGAGTCAAACGGCAGTCATAGAAACGAGTGTCAAAGATTAATATTTATTATCAATAGGTTTAAAATGTTTAAAGTAATATGATAAACTCCTTTTAACAATAATAATAATAAATGACTATGGAGTCATTATTATTATTAACCATTGAATAGTCGTTAATTTATAGATCTAGCAACATTAACAAATTAAATAAACCATTCGTATTAACGGCCTCGAACCAATTCGACTTTGACATTATTCAATGACAATGACAGCTGACACTAACACAATTTCTTTAATATTTATAATAAAGACTACAGACTATCAAATAGTCGTTAATTTGCAGATCCATTAATAATGGTAAATAAAATAAACCATATAACGGTTTTGAACTAATTTTACCCCCGATATTACCAAATGTTGATGAATGACAATAGCAGCTGATCAACACCATTCCTTAAACATAAATAATAAATGCTATGAATATACCACAGACTATCAATCCTTAATATTATTTATTATTATCTTGAATATATTTATTTACTCGAATTAAATATCAATCTTTATATTTATGTAACAAAATAATCATTATATATGAGTTTGCGCCCATATATAAATATATAATAGAAGCAAATAAATACTTACTTGAAATAAATACCAATCTTTATGTGTTTGTAAAAATATAATCATTATATATGAATTTGCGCCCACACGGCCATACTGACTCCAGCGTCCCTTGCGCTGTTTTAGATTGCTACAACTTTAAACAAGGCATCACTCATTACGAGATCTAGCCAACACATAAGGCATCACTGATTTCGAGATCTAGCCAACACATAAGGCATCACTCATTTCGAGATCTAGCCAACACATAAGGCATCACTCATTTCGAGATCTAGCCAACACATAAGGCATCACTCATTTCGAGATCTAGCCAACACATAAGGCATCACTCATTTCGAGATCTAGCCAACACATAAGGCATCACTCATTTCGAGATCTAGCCAACACATAAGGCATCACTCATTTCGAGATCTAGCCAACCAGACCAGGATCAAGGATACGCATGGTGGCCAGCCAGCGTTTTAGGAAGGATGTTTTGGATAGGCAAAATATAATATTTTGTATAAACGCATCAATGCGCATACATAAAATAAACATCATCTATCGTCATGAAAGTTATAAAAAATATAATGCAATTACCTAGGTCCAACAACGTCAGGTTATCAGGAGGCAGAAGCCTCCTCATGTAAATCGGTCTCTGACGAATCTTCCGCCCATACGGTCAATTCGACTGAACTGGTAACTTACAATGACGTTCAAAGAATTGCCTCAATTGGTAATTCAG